AACAGTTGTTCGTTGGGATTTTCTATCCGTGTTAAATCCAATGTAAACTTCGCATGTGCGATGTAGGATTTTTATGACGTCATCCGTTAGAATGTACCATGTGTCGCCACAGATTAATGATATGTTAAATAAATGTTAAGATTTTTTTTTTGGAAAATACTCGTGCACAATCCCTGACTACGAGCTTAAAAACTTTCGAAACATTGGAATTCTTTGCCAAAACTGGGAAATCAAAACCCGACCCCCGGCAGTCGCACTTGCAACCATTCGACCTATTCATTTTCGCTTAAAAATATTCACTATAACGCAATATCCACCTTAAGCAATCCTTACTAATATTATAAATTGGAAAGTGAGTTTGTTTGTTTGTTCTGCTTTCACGCCGTAACTACTAAACCGATTGCTTTGAATTTTTGCAGACGTAAAGTTAGAAGTCCGGGTTAAATAATAGGCGTACTTTTTATTTTGATATTTCCGAGGGAAAACAAAAGTATTGGTATAGATAGCGCTGTGTGTATTGATATATGTCACATAGCCTATGTGACATACCTATATCAATACAGTAGCCTATGTGACATAGGCTACTTTTTATCCTTTTGTAACGCGAGCGAAGCCGCGGGTAAAAGCTAGTCTAAAAATAATTAGCCGATTAGGAGTCGCGGAGAACCTAATGGGGAACCGGGGCTCCGGCTCGACGTGCAGGAGAAGGAACGGGGTGGTTTTTTAGTCAGTAAGAGTCTGACACTCCCTTCCGCCTCACCCAGGCGGGAGCAGTAATTCGATGATTTTCCCCCCTTAAAAAAAAAAGTCTAAATTAGCAATCCAAAACTTACCAGTGCTCCCATCCTCAAATTTTTCCACATACAAAGCAGGATACACTCTAGTCACATAAACTCTTAGTTTCGAAACTTTCCCGCCATCTATTTTGACAGATGACAGTTGGGACAAGATGGCGGCGTTGCCATGGTAACCGAGACGCGCGTCCCAGCGAGCCCTGCGCGTTGAGTTGCCGAAGAGCTTTAAGCGTATTGCTGTAGTATCCTGGAATTAATAAAAAATTTAGATAAATTAGGTACTTTCAAGGCCCGTGTGATTAGGTTGCTATAGGCAGGCAGACTCCATCGTAGGTTGCCTCGTCTTTTATCACCAGGCGAGATACTGGACAAATGTCAGTCTAATTTAGCGTTAGAGCGAAGTTAGCAGAGACCCAATACAATGCTCAATACAATCTAATAGCATTTTCTGTGTTTTTGATGTTAAAATCAATTAATATAATGTTTTAGGATGTGTTTCGAAACCATAATAATGTTTTCAGTTGCATAGGCAGTGAGTTAGAAATCCTTACTAATATAATATAATTATAATCCTTACTAGTAGTATTATAAATCGGAAAGTGAGTTTATTTGTTTGTTCCGCTTTCAAGCCGTAACTACTAAACCGATTGCTTTGAATTTTTGCAGACGTAAAGTTAGAAGTCCGGATTAAATAATATGGTACTTTCTGGAATTAAACCAGAGACTTCTCGTTAGTATTTAATTTACTAACCTCCCACGGTGAAACTCCTTGTTCACAACCAACCAACTCAGCACCATTGGTGACCAGCTTGGTTCCAACCACGATCTTCCCTTGGCACACATGTTGGGCCAACATCTTGTCAATATTGGCTTTGATGCAGTACCAACCATCTGTTAGTAGTAGTTCCACATTGTTTGATGTTGATGCACTAAAATTAATAGTTTGATTGCAAATATATTTTGGTCAAATGCAAAGAAATGTTTTTAATTAATCCCTAAATAGACAATTTGAAGCATCAAAACTAAATCTAACAGCACTCTTGTTAAGCAAATGTTAGTACTCTGTGTCTGATTACTGAGCTGATAAATTGTAACTGGCTGATGATGAACCTTTTACCTGCATCAACGTTTACATGTTACAATGGTAGAATGTACAAGGATACCTTATTAGTGTTGTAATATCAACTTATTGTAAAATCCTTCATTCTGAGTTAATAAATAATTATTCTATTCTGTTCTAAATGATCCGTCCGTCAGTCAGCTTTCAACGATTTTTAAGAGGTCGTCTGTCTATCTTGATATTCGAAATCAATAGTCTACTGCTGGGCTGCACTATTATAACAAACGCCTGTTATGAAGTCCACTTCACAGGCGTCATCTATAATCTCCAAACTAAGCTGCTGCTATCTTTTTACTGTCTTTTAAGGTCATTTATAAGGTAAGTGTGGGAGAGCCATGCTTCGGCACGAATGGGCCGGCTCGACCGGAGTGATACCACGGCCTCACAGAAAACCGACGTGAAGCAACGCTTGCGTTGTGTTTCGTCGTGTGAGTGAGGTTACCGGAGGCCCAATTACCTTCCCCTTCCCCAATCTCCCCAATCCCTGAATCCCCAACGATCCTCAAACTCCTAATCCCCAAAAAGCCGGTGACGCACGTGTAACGCCTCTGGTGTTCTAGGTGTCCATGGGCGACGCCGATTGCTTACCATCAGGTGATCCGTCTGCTCGTTTACCGGCTTATATATTCCATAAAAAAAAAAAAAATATTTTTTTTTTTCGATCTCTTTAACTGTATTTTAGTGTTACATTGTTCTCGCATAACCCAAACAACAAAACTATGTAAGTAGAGAATTGTATTGCGAACTTGATTGGAAAAGTTCTTCTCCATAGGAATCTACACCTTGGAATGAGCAAATAGCTTCACTTTTAATTTTTTTGTTGACGTTCAAAAGTGACTCTCTGGTCTAATTGAAATAAATGATTTGACTTGACTTTGACTTAGCAGGTGAATTTAGATGGTAGTTTAAAATATTCATCAGAAAGCACTGTTGACCAATCTTTGTTAATTGTGTAGTCGGCTCTTAGTCGTAAGGTAAACTGGCAACTACCCTATTATAGGTGTCGACCTATAATAGGGTAGTTGCCAGGGAATGAAAATTAAAAATCTAATTAGTCCGTCAGTTAGATAATGAAAAAATATTAGACACGATTTTTTATTTTCTCGTATAATGTTACCATACTTAGATAAAATGGAGTTAAGATTAGGAATGGGAGGTCGTTACGTCACTAAGTGCTACAAAATGTAGCGCATTGTGACGTCACACGATATTTCAGATTATTATATCGTCGAAAGTATTTAATTTTGTGTGTCTAATGTTTTAAATTAATCTACCAGATGGACATTAAAATAAAATTTTGGCAGCTACCCTATTACGGCTTTTTTGTGTGTAAGTTCAAAACAGAACTGATAAAATAACTTACCTATAAAAGTTGGGTAAATAAAATCCTTACCTGGCAACTCTGACACCATCTTCATATATCTCAGCGACGCACAATACAAGAGTCTTCGATGGCACATCGTCTTTCTCAAAGATCTTCCTCAACGCTGGTCTTTTAGCATTAAACAATTCCATATCGTAACGAAACTTCAATTGATCTAAAACATTTCTTGCAGTACAAAATAGACTATTGAATTTAATTTCGTAAGATATTAGCTTCCATAATATTAACTTCAAATGGTTATCCAACCAGCCATTTGGTATAAGTTTACAGGTCACTGAATCACTAAAATATGTTTTGAGCGATTCGATTGTTAAATCGCCTTCAGTTAAGTCGTTTCTTTCATTTTTGAACACAAATTGTAATAGGCTATCGAATCGAAAAGTCGTCAAATATGTATCTGTTTTTGCGCTGCAATTTCGCGTCATTTTTTCCAAATCTTTCAAAGTATATTCTTTCTTTCGCTTGTAATTTTCATTGAATTTCATTTTATTTCCGTCTTTTGGTTTGATTATTTCTTTTTTTGGAACAACTGGTAGTTTTTGAGAGTATGGTGTTTCAAATTTTCGCCGTTTTTTCGCTTTTGGGCACGATAAGATTGGGCTTGATGGCCGTTTTGCTTTGACGGGGGTTTCGCGAAAATCTTCAGTATGTAAGCTTTGATCGAAGTTATTTAAAACTTGTGTATTGATAATGTTTTCTAATCCCTCGTCGAAATTGGTTATTTTGTCATTTGAAGAATCTACATCTGCAAATGGACGTTTATTTCTTATACCATCGTTACCTTTATTAGCATCGCAATTTTTTATATCGGTTTTTATTTTAGGAATGTTTGTTCCATAATTTCGCAGTCTATTTTCATTAACTTCGATTTCTTTAAGTAGTTTTCGACTTTCATATGCCGTTTGGAATTGCGAATCATCTTTCAGTTCCTTTTCAAATATTTTCACAGCATCAACTAACGCTTTTTGTGATAATTCTAGTTCTTCATTGTTAATAGCTTTGAAGCCATGAAATTCTGGTTCGGGTTCGTCCTGGATGGTTTCCAAATCTTGAAATAGTTTTTTACTTTTAGCTAATGCTTCTTCAGATATGACTACAGGTCTTTTATTAGCTGTCTGAAACCCTATGAAAATTGGACTTTTATTTTGATCTAGTGCTAAATTGAGGTCATGTTTGTGATCTTTATCATCGTTAGCGAGGTTTAAATTGTTTATATTGTCTGTTTTTGAGTTTATATTATTCATGTCTTCATCGGCGTCAATATTTTGGAATATTTTTCGTGTTTTTAGTAAAGCTTCTGCCGAAATTTCAACCTTTTTATTACTAGCTGTTTGGAAGCCTTGAAATTTTGATATTTTATTTACTTTTATATATAAATTACCATCTTTAGTACTTGTAGGGCTTTCATCTTTATCAGTAACATCTTTTGTATCTATTTCAATGTCTGGATAGTCTTTTTTAGTTCTTTTTGTAGTTTCAATTTCAGAGTCCTCTAAATCGTTAAAAATATTTTTAGTTTTGGCTATAGCTTTTTCGGAAACATTGATAACCTTATTATTTGCAGTTTTGAACCCAACAAAATCAGTCATACTCTTTATAGGAGGGATATCTTCTTTGAAACTTGGGTATGGAAGCTTTTCTTCATCTTTTTCTTGGTTATTTGCATTTGAGAAGTCACTAGAGTCTAAATCTTTAAAGATATTTTTGGTTTTAGCTAGAGATTCTTTAGAGATTTGTATTTGTTTGTTATTTGCTGTTTTGAAGCCCATAAAACTTGTTTTGCTAGTTGACGGTGCACATAGATTTGTATCTGGTTCCACCATTTTAGGCACATTTCCTATGTCTTTTGAATCGTTATTAGCTTTGTTTGAATTTCCATAATTAATTTTATCAATGTCTTTGAAAATGTCTTTAGTTTTAGCTAAAGATTCCTTTGAAATTGTTATCTGTTTATTGTTTGCTGTTTGAAAACCAATAAAATTAGTTTTACTTGTGGACGGCTTATTAAATTTTTCATTTTCTTCTTCGACTTCTATAATATGTTCTTCAGGATTTTTGTGATTAGAATCTTTTTCGAAAATGTCTTTAAATATATTCTTCGTTTTAACCAATGCTTCTTTAGAAACATTAACTTTCTTATTATTAGCGGTTTGGAAGCCAACAAAACAAGCTTTGCTAGTCGAAGGCCCATAAAAAGCTGTAGTTTCAGCTCCAACGTCATCTTTTACGACATTTTCAGAAGTTTTCACGTGTTTTGAAGGATATTTGAAGTTATCATCATCAATATCTTTAAATATATTCTTCGTTTCAACCAAAGCTTTATCGGATATTTTGATTTCTTTATTGTTTGCCGTTTTAAATCCTACAAAGGCTTTTGTTTCCCTAGTTTCAGTATTCAATTTAGTATTTTCTTCAGTTTTCGTAGATTTTTTTGGATAACTGAAGTTTCCTGAATCAATATCTTTAAAAATGTTTTCAGTTCTAGCCATTGCTTCATTAGATATTTTAATATTCTTATTGCTTGCCGTTTTAAAGCCAATAAAGCTAGATTCATTTAAAAATTCTTCAGTTTCTTTCATGTTTTTTATACTTTCTTCAGGTTTGTTAGGCATTTTAAAATCCACTGAGTCTATATCGTCAAATATTTTTTTAGTTTTTGCTAAAGCTGCTTTGGATATATTTATTTGTTTATTATTTGCAGTTTTGAAGCCAGTAAAGCCTTTACTAGTAGACGGTTTAGCAAATATTTCGTCTTTATCAATATTTTCTTCTATTTTTTTATTTGATAGTTCTATATTATCAATATCTTGGAACAAATTCTTAGTTTTAGCTAAGGCTGCTTCTGAAACTTTAATATTTTTATTGCTAGCAGTTTTAAAACCAACAAAATCAGGTTTTGGAGTTGATATAGCTGACGTTATTTCAAACGAATTCTTTTCAGCTTTTTTAGGAAATTTTATATTATCTAGATCCTGAAATACATTCTTTGTTTTATTCAACGCTTCTTTAGATATATTTATGTATTTATTACTTGCAGTTTTAAACCCTACTTCAGATGCAACTTTTAAATCACCATCGACTTGAGTTGGACTCTTCTCTCTAAAATGATTTTCTTTCAACTCTATCTCATTTAAATCTTCATCCAAATCAATATCTTTAAAGACATCTTTTATTTTAGCTAAAGCAGTATCTGTTATTTCTATTTCTTTATTGCTTGCAGTTTTAAAACCTATAGGAGTTACTTCATCTTCTTTCTTATCCTCATTTAAAGACATTTCAATGTTTTCGAACTCTTGTATCAAAGCATCATCAATGTTTTGTATTTCTTCTTCTATGTTCAAATTATCTTCCGTTTTTGGTTTATCTTCTTTAATCTTCTCAATTTCTTCTGCATTATCATCGTCCTCTAAAGTTCTTTTATCAAAATCTTCACTTAAATCTATATCTTGGAACACTTTTTTACTTCTTACTAATGCCTTTTGAGACAATTTGATTTCTTTATTACTAGCTGTCATGAAACCTTTAAAATTACCAGAACCTTTTTGTCCTGTATCTACAAGCTTCTCTTTTTCAGTTCCACTGTTAAAGATGAACTCTGTTTTCTTACCATCAAAGTCTATTTCACCTTGTATCTCATCATTAGTTGTATTTTTAACATTGCTCTCACAATTTTTAACCATATCAGTAACAGTTACTTCATTATCAACATCGCCTAGTATGCTTTTGGCTTGAGCAAATGAATCTGTGAAGATCTGAATAGATTTATTACTGGCTGTTTGAAAACCTACATACATAGTTTTATCGAGAACATCCGATTGATTATAAAAAGAGGTTTCTAGCGCACAGGTAAAAGGGAGATCTTGCAAGCTCTGCTGAACAAAGTCTTCTTCATCACTACTAAATAAGATCTCATCTTTTAAAACTGCTTTAACATCTTTTAATCTTTTATCTTCGTCTTTTGTTACTTCTTTAATTAAATGTTCTGAAGTAGCTTTATCTAGATTTATAACTTCATTATCTGAATCAGAATTTGGTTCTATAAGTAGGCGTGTTTTAAATTCCTTGTTATTAATTTTCTTTTTGGCTTTATACATTAAAACTGGACTCCTTGCATTCAATGCTATTTCTTCATCCATTTGTATATGTAGTTCTTTATCTAAAATCTGTGAATTGATGATTTTCTTTGATAATTTCAAATCGTCGCCTATTAAAACTGGTTCAGATTGCTTTTCAAATTCTTCGAACTTTTCTAAACTAAAAACCATTGGGGATGGGGTTTTTGATTTTGGTTTTGTTCCTTTTTGCACAAATATTGGACTTAAAGGCATTTCTATTGCTAAATCATCATCATCGATTTCTATACATTCTACATATTGTTTTTCAGCTTCAAAATTATTACTTTTACCACTGTTTGTAGTTGTTTCTTCATATTTAACTCTATTACTATTAATAATAGGAGAAATTAGACTCACAGATACATCCATATTAACATTATTATCATCATTGACATCTTTATCTCTTTCTACTCTATCATCGACTCTATCAACATCCAAACATCCTTCTTTCTCATCATCCTCTTCATCCAGAACCTTCTCGGTATGATGACAGAAGGTAGTTTCAAACTCTTGTGTCATTCCTTCATGGATGTCGATGATTTCAGCATCTTCTATTATGTGTATGAGTTGTGTATCTGTTGCGTATTGGGTGTCGAATTTTGTTTTTGGTGGCTGAAAGATGGAGAATTTTGGATTAGAATATTGGAGGACTTTTCAGTCATGTTTATTTTATTGTTTTGATTGATGGGACAGTAAACTGTTATACTATAAAAATAGATAAGTTAATAGCAGTATAGTAATAAAAGAGAGGTATATTAATATCTTCTTAAGTACTTTAACCTAATTAACAATGCCTTTTTGAATTATACAACCATTCAAATAATTTTTGCAGTACATACGAGATATCTGTGTTAAATGTTTTATTTTTTTTATACCACGTCGGTGTCAAAAAAGCACATGGCCCATCTGGTAAGCAGTTACTGTGGCTTACGTCCGTCTGCAACACTTGGGACATTACATGCGTCTTGCCAACCCTTAAGAAACCTATTCACTATAGTGACACTATGTATGTCTGACAAGAAGCATTTCAAGAGATTTAGATACATTATGTTATTTCCTTTTTTTTTAATTTATTAAGAATCAGAGACAATTCGGTTAAAGTTTTTTCAATAAGATAATTATACCTAGTGAGGTTATTGTAAACCTAATAAAAATAACTGCCTCATTGGCTGAGTGGACAAGTGCGACTGCCAGGCAAGGGGTCTCGGGTTCGATACCCAGGTCGGGCAAAGTATTACTGGGTTTTTTTAAAAATCTCAGTACAAGCACGGAGTCTAGAATTGTGCCCGGTATATGGCAATAGGCTAAACCCCTCTTACATGGGACTCATAACACAAATAGTAAAAAGTGTGTGTTACATTGTACAGTGGCATAATGTGCACCTCTGCCACATGTAAAAGTACCCCTTTGGGGATAAATGACGTGATGTTATGTTATGTTAATAAAACTAAACAAAACCTATGTTCTACATGAACTAATACAGATTCAAACGAAAAATAAACAACAAACTCACCTCATTATACACAGGTAAATGACTAACACTTAAGAAATTTGCGTTTTTACACTTTGGTAAAAGTTTAAGCGTACATTTTTCACTTTTCACAGAATCAGCCATTTGGAACGCTTTAAGCTGATGAGAAACAGTTGATATCACATCCTGCGGCTTATAAGTATGTTTGTTTTTATGTTTATTGTCTTTGTAAAGTCCGACCGAAGGTTTTTTACTATTTTTCATTAAAATTAACTCGAAGTTTTGTATTGGATCACTCATCGTAATGTTTTGGCAATTGTCGCTGCAAGGTATGATTATTTACACGTTGTTTTACAAGATTAAGAAATATTCTTAATTCTTATCTTCTTTGGTGGGAATTAATAAGAAAATTATGTTTTAAACATAATTTTAGCGCGAATTTATGCAAAAACATTTCTATTTACGTCTTCAGTTTGACAGATGAGCTCATTCGACACTCCCTTTCACGCTTTAGAAAAGTTTCTGCTTTCAATTTTCATTTATAGTTTGGTTAACAAACAATACACCAAATATTTAATTTTATTACTAATGCAAATTAAAATCATTGCAGTAATGCTTAATGTAGCATAGAATAGAAGATCACGATTTAAAAATAAATATTCCAGAATTCCAAATAGCGTGTAAAGGTTTGTTCTTATCCGTTCAGAACTACGAAAATCATAAATGAAATAACAGATTTTAACTGCTAACTTTTAACTACTAATAATAAAATTACAACTTATTTTTTGTTTTATTTACATATAATATGTATTTGTCGGCGCCGCCGTCATTATTTTGTAAACTGCGAATGTAATGGGCGAGCAGTGAACAAACAACTGACCGACGTCACTTCAACCCCACCACCGAGTGATATATAAAGCAGCGCAAGCGCAAGCTCGAGTCAGTCGTTCGTCGATCGTTGCCCAGTTCACACGTTACGCAATCGCTGAGTAATTTTATTGTTGGTTTTATTTGAGTGTTTCCTTTATATAATCAGTGCTGAATTATTCAATTATTATAATTAAAAATTAATGTGAAAGTAAGTTCATTTAATCGAAATAAACTAAGTGATTGTGTGAAGCTCTTTGTTTTATTTTCAAATAATGTCGGACCCTGATCCTACAT